ATTTTGGGGTGCCCCTTTCTTCATTCTTCTCAGACCCATGATGAATCAGTTTCTAGTAAAAGAAGGTGATAACTTTACCTTTTCAGGCTTTTTGATTTTATAGCTGTTCCCTTCATTAGACTCCAAATCTTTTTTTCTACAACTATCAATCTACAATCCTCTAACTATGTATGTAAAAGACATAGACAGGACCAGATCAACATTGATTAGAGAAAACACCTTGAAAATTATACACAAGTGGTATTTGACTCCAGTGAAGGTAGCCAGAATGGTTAAAAATGTTTCCACCAAATGTTGGCGTGACTGTAATGACAATGGGATATTTCGACACATGTGGCTCGACTGCCAAAAATAAACACATTTTGGCAATTGGTACTTGAACAAATTTCATTGATTACCATCCAAGAAGTAAAATTATGTCCAGAAATGCTTTTGTTATTGATATATGAAGACACCAACTCAAATTTGAAACACAAAAACCTCATAGATTTTTTTCATCACAACAGCCTGTGTAGAAATTGCCAGATGCTGGAAAACAGGGGATGTATCTTTAGGTAAGTGGTGGGAAAAAGTATGGGACCTGTGGATACTTGAAAAACTGTCAGACAGAATGGCAAGTTACGCAGGATGACCAAAATCAAGACCTTTCATAGACAAATAGTTCCCACTCATTGACTTTATAAACAAAGACAGAAACAAGAGAGTACAACCTCCATCTCATCTGAACCTTTGATCGGATATTCTGGATTAGATTTACACAAAGACAGCACTGCATTTTAAAATGACCACTTACATTGAACAGAAGCAAGAAGGAGACCTGCAACACAATTCAAAGTTGTGAGATGAATTGTTTTGTTTTGCTATATTGTTGTGATATAATAATAATTTTCTTAAAAAAATAAATGTTTTCAAAAAGTTTTTAAAAAGATATAAACAGGATGCTGAAGGCTTTTCCCTCTCCTTAGTAGGATCAAAGGAAATGTCTCTGCAGAGGCTAACTTTCTTGCAGAAAAGGGAAGATGCAGAGTACTCCTTTTGGTGGAAAGCTTATAAAAGAGCGTACTAAATGCTGAGGCATACATGGCCCTGACGGAAACTGTGAACAGCAATACATGCATTGGGCCAACCAAGTTGCACAAACTACATCATATAAATTTTCAATACTCCACTGGCTTCCTCATCAATGAAAGGTGTACAAATCATACAGGAGAAGGAAAAAAAATGACAATGTTTGAGTTACAGACCTACATTTTGTAGAGATGTTGTTTCTGTCGCCAGTTAAGATGGTCTGGAGGGATATCGGTGCAAAGGGCACTCCCTTCTTTGGCCATGTGGGCACCGAGAGATAAACAGTTGTAAAATCCAAGCAATAAAATTTCAGTTCCACTAGCAACAGAAAAACTAACTTCTTTGAGATCCATACTTCAGAAATGCTTTTTTCAGTGCATCCTACTCAGAACAAAAATATAATAGGCAAATTTTGTGCAAAACAAGATCCAACTTGCAAATAATTCTCTGAAAACTGCAGTTTTTGAAGACTTTCCCATAGAATAAAACTAAAATTCCTCACTGCTTTCTTTGAGAACAAAATTAGTAAGGATGCCTCAGTCAGGACTAAAGACATGATAACTTTATATTGACAATTCTGTCAAAGAATCTGTTAGTAAATATAAGTACTTGAAACTTCATTTTAAGCTTCACTTTCAGCATCCTTTTTTGCTTTAAAGATAAAAAAAATATTAAACTCTGGAAAAGTAATTAGTAACTGCTGCATCCCTTCTCTCTAGGATGTATATTCGATGATACACAACAATGCTAGCAACAAAAATACTTTTAATTAAGGTAAGGACAATTTGGTGGTGAGTTGATTCAGCAATTAATGAACATAAAAGAAATTAAATCAGCATGTCAGTTAAAGGCAGTAGCAAAATATCTAAATGAAGAAAAAGGATAAAAATGCATATCCTCACAGATGCACATGTAAAAATGGACACTGTTGCTGAGGTTTTGTCCATAAATGGGAATCAGAACAGATTTTCTTTCAGTATTTAAATTGTGAGGAAGGTGGACAAAGAAAATAAAAGGTTACCAAATTGTTTTAGACATATCTTCCTTTATGTGCCAGCATGCTTTTTAAACTCTAAAAGCAGTGAAAGGTTCCAGACTCTATTCATCCATCTTTTAATGCTTCAGCCATTCAAGTCCTTTCACTTTTTGGATGCCTCTAGTCTGGCAGCCTCTATAAGTAGTGTTATAAAGCTTCTTTGCCTTCTTTGTTTGCTTCAGCCCTCAAAAATAGATAATACTAAAAAATGGTTTCAGATAATAAATAGTCTGATTTGCCGTTTAGTCTAATACAGTATATTTAAAACTTTGTTCCGGACCTCCATGACAATAGCTACAGTGCGCCCTTGGTTTCCGCTGGGGTTGGGTTTCAGGACCCCCTTTGGATACCAAAATCTGTAGATACTCATCCCATTATATACAGTAGGGTATGTTTTCCAAATTGCAAATGTTTGTTTTAACAAACGGATTTTGTAAGGTGAGTCTACCCTCTGAGGTATTAAATCTGATTTTGTTAGGCTGCTTCCACACTGCAGTAATAATCCAGTCTGACACCACTTTAACTGCCACAATGCTGTGGGATTCTGGGATTGTAGTTTGTTGTGACGTCAGAGCTCTCTGACATAGAAGGTTAAATGTCTAATAAAACTACAATTTCCAGAATTGCACAGCATTGAGTCATGGCAGTTAAAGTGGTGCCAAACTGGACTATTTCTGCAGTGTGGATGCAGCCTTAGTGACTCTTAGGTTTTCATTCCCTACTTTAAATTTATTTAGCTTGTTCTGTCATAACCTCAGTCTATGAAGGTTTGGATGAACTGGTACAGATTAAAAAGGAATGTGAATCTGGGCAGAATGTGGTCTTTTACTCTGGTGATTCTGTCTAAGACCCTTTGCAGACTGCCAGAAATAGTGCAAATTGAGTCCACTTTTAGGCTTAAGGTTAGTGCTAGGGAGTCATGGAAATTATTTTTTTTCTGAGACATTGAGCCTTCTCTGTCAGAGAGCTCTGGTGCCACAATAAACTACAGTTCCCATGATTCCCTAACCCTAACCCTAACCCTTAAAGTGGATTCAATTTGCATTATTTCTAGCAAAGGCCCTAAATTGGCATGTTTCGTTTGTATCATGTTTTAACTATTTGATAACTCCAATCAAGTAACAGTTTGTAGTTCCTATGAATCAGATAAAGAATTTCCTTAGCTGTGCTAATTGATCCCAGCTCACTTTGGAGCACCAAATTCTTCACTGGATGGGGATGGAAGCTTTTTTGTAAGGTATCAGCCAAGATTAAGAGAAAAAGAGAAAGACCTTTAAAAAATTGCTTGTAGTAAATTCATTTGTCCACCCACCATCCCACTTGTAAGATTTCAGAGATTGCAATGAAGTGAGACAAAACGGGAAGGAGGGCTATTCCATGTGTTCACCTGAAAGATCAACTCCCATTAACTACTTCTTTCCTTAAACTGTTCCCAGCTTGTCAATATAAGAATTATTATTTAACACGCACTTCCCCCCCCCCCCCGCAACCCCATTCCCTTTTTTGCTTGTTTCTTACAATTTAGACTGCAAGCCTTGCAGGCAACTGCTTGTGCTTATTGACTAAATATATAAGCTACTGTGGAAACTCGTGGTCGAGGAGCAGCATAAAAATACTTTGCTTTAAATAAATAAAAATGCACCCCATGACATAAAACTGTGGGAATGATATCGCTGGTTGTGCTGCCTATGTTTGGGATGTGGGGTTGCCAGGAGGAAGAAAATAGTTGCCAGGGGACTGACAACATGTCCTGTGCTTTCTACATCATATATAATTTGCTGAGTGCTGTATGGTAATGATGGGTCATGTAATGATTAAATCTGGTTGTGTAACTGAGGAGTTTTTAAGGGTGTTCAATCCAGAAAGTGCACTTTAGGTTACAGCCTAGGTATACCATGAGCAATAATGTGGCTGCTTTACATGGTAATTAGAAATAGGTACATTGCCGTTTGCTTAATATACCTAGGACTGCAAGTACAAGTCCTAGGTTACCTATCTGCACTTCTGTGAGGGATATGGAACAGAAAAGGCAGCCTGCCCCAGCTGTAGCATCTTTCTTTTGCTGTACTAGCAAACCTCACATTGGCTGTCAAAAGGCTACTCTTCAGATTTGACTTGGCCTGGGAATGAGACATCAGGAGGGAAGCTCTCTCTCCAGTCTACGCCTTGGCCATATAACCATTCTGCCTTTGGCTTTAGCTGCAGTCTTGTTGTTGTTGTGTGCCTTCAAATCGGTTCTGACCTAATGTGAACCTGTCATAGGGGTTTCTTGGCAAGTTTTATTCAGTGATGGTTTGTTTTTGTCTCTCTCTGAGGCTGGAAGAGTGTGACTTGCCCAGTGGGTTTCCATGGCCAAGCAGAGATTTAAACCTTGGTCTCCAGAGACATAGCCCAATGCTCAAACCACTATACCATGCTGGTGCTGGCACTCTCTCTCTCTGCTTTTTATAAAAAGTTCTATTTTTCCACAGAAAAATTTCCTCTTTCATTTATCTCCATAATTCTCTGGCTGTTGTGCTGCAATCAATCATGATAGATTGGCTAAGTACAGGAAAAGAAGTTCTAGCTATTCTTCTAAATGAGATAAGCACTGACAATTACTATGGCTCAGCTTGTTTTTATTTCATGAAATAGGTTGTTACTATTTCACAAAATCTCTTGCTTCTCGATCACAAGCACAAGCAGCGAAGACAAAATGTTATAAATTGCCAACGCCCACAGACTCACACACATACTTTGTTGTGTACCTTCAAGTCATTTCCAACTTATGACAACCCTAAGGTGAACCTATCACGAGGTTTTCTAGGCAAAATTTGTCCAGAGGGTTGCTGTTGCCTGTACCTGCCTCTGAGGCTGAGAGAGTGTGATGTATCCAAGGTGATCCAGCTGATTTCCATGGCCAAGTGGGGATTTGAACCCTGGTCTCTAGAGTTTCAGTTTAATGCACAAACCACTACACCACACTGGCTTTAGTAAAATTAAAAGTTCAATTAGTCCTACTAATTTTTCTCAACTTGAAATAGAACTGATAAGTAGTGCAGAGAGTGAGTGAGTAAAGCTGGAGATACCACCTAAGCCTAAGCAAAAGAAAATCAAGCTTTTGATAAATGAAGTACAACTCTCTTTTGGTAGGGGACCTTAATAAAGAAGTGTTCTTTCAGATGTAGTGATTTTTACTAAATATAAGGGAAGTACAAGCTATCTTCTTTATATTATTACAAATTTTCCAATAAAAAAAATTCCACATAAAGCTTTGAATGTATTTGATTATAATATGAAACTACATATGCTAAATGACATTATGATTGTGTGTTCCTGCATGGCAGAGAGTTGGAATGGAAGCCCTTCTGTTCTCTTCCAACTATATGATTTTATGATAACTCAGAAATAACATTATTTAGAACATTAGAAAAAAAAATCCAATTCTTTCTCCAAAAAAATTCACATCACTGTTCGTGGAGTTTTTCCCTACCTTCTCTCCCTGGCACTGGAAAATACTGGGATGGTGGTGGCATGTATGCATGTTTCTCACTTTGGGAGATCACCATAAGTGGTTCTGGGGGTAAAGGATATCAGAAACATATCTAGTTTGAGGGCTGTTGAACTTGTTTCACTCTGAGATACAACAGGAACCAGATAATGGTATGTTTCTATATCCTGCCATCGTTTCCCCAGCATATGAGCGATGGTACATCGGTCACTATGTGGGGTTGCCTGGATTTATTGGCATATGTTGTAGCAAGGCTCTTCAGCTGCATTTAACCAAGTGGTTGGCATTTTCATTATCCATCAATATATCCATGTGTACTTTATCTCCAGCGTCATCTTGCATCCCATCTCTCACTGCTAAGGCTCTAATTATGGGTGCTCTTAACAAGTTTTATAGTGGGAATAGATGTTACAACTAGCTGGGGGGAAATTGATGAACATCAAGCATGTTGATGTTGAATTGGTACCTATCAACTGCCCTGCCACTCCATTCTGGAGTATTCAGTTTCTCAATACTTTTCTGAGAGTATGCTCTGAAGCAGGCCAGCCTTGAAATTACTACAGCACATGGGCCAGTCACCTCTATTATAATATCAAGCAAAGCTGGAAAGACACTCTTCATAGTAATGTTGTAATACAGTATGTAGTAATATGTTGCAAGATGAACATATATAAACCTTTTAAGACTGCTGTACAACTGTATGGCGTAACTGAAGTGTATGACAGGCAGACAGCAAATCAACTGCTTGTCCCAACTAGAGTAGATCCACTGAATTAGTAGGTTTACAGAAGTATATGATTCAATGGATCTATTTTAGTTGGACTGAGGCCCAAGTGCTTTTCGGTGGACAACATAGTACCTTTGAATTACTCTGCTTTATAACGCTGATTGATATAGGAAATTAAATCCAAATACGAAATCTGCAGAGACAGGGGATGGACATATCTAGAACATGAGATCTCCCATATATGGTCTCATCTTCTCATTACCATCATGAACGCAAACTTGAAACTACAGTCGGGGCCCCAAATCCACAGATTATTTACCCATAGATTTAACCATCCACAGCTTGAAAACATTTTGAAAAGATAAAAATTCCAAAAAGCAAACCTTGATTTCGCTATTTTATATAAGGGGCACCATCCTGGAACCAAGGGCCCACTGTATATATAGATACATAACCTACTATTACTAATTAATATACAGTAATAACATGATCATGATTCTTCAAATTATAAAGCCAGAGTGGAAACTGTGTCTCTCTTCAGATGCTGTTGGACGCAATTCCCACTACTAATTATGCTAGCTTGGGCTGCTGGGAGTTGCCGTTCAATACCATCTTAGTGGGCCATACAATTCCTAGCCCTGGTCAAAAGAAATGAATGAACTGAGAATCCAAAGCCTGAAGTTGTAAATCAGCACAAGCATCAATAATTCTCTTGCTTCCAGTTAATTAACCCCAGATTTAGATGGATAACATAGTGTATATAATTGGCTCTCAAACGGTGGGGCAGGACCTCCATGGGAGCGTGAGAGTTGCTCAAGGATGGCATGAGACTTGGAAGATCTGATCCCTCCTCCTCTTCCCAAGTAAATACTGAATTTACTTAAATAAAACTGTTCTAATTTGCATATTATTTCCTTATAAAATGTTAAAATATGAAAATACACAAATGTGTAAATGAAAAGTAACCAAAATATTTTTATTTGCATACTATGTGGGAGGAGGGCACTCGTACGTAGATGTAGATTAAAGGGGGGTACCCAGGGTAAAAAGTCTGAGTACCACTGGTGTATATCAAGATAAACACCTAGATTTTTAATAGGTTTAGTTACAATGAATTGAAAAAGTGATAAGGCAAGGTGACAAAGACAAGATATATTACTGCTCCAGTGTCAACTTCTGTATACAGATTTGTTAAGCTAAACCTACCAGTTACTCTCTCAGCTTATGATTACCTCACTCTTCCTTAGTAGCTGAGCGAGGAATTTAATCATTACAAAGAAATGTTATATCACATATACAATGATGCTGAACACAAGTAGTGATGTCAAAAGTAGTCTATTGACATCAGTACTTGTTACACTTGAAAACTTCATGTGTTCAGCATCATTGCATATGCATCATATAACATTTCTTTGTAATTATTAACTTCCTCACTCAGCTACCATGGAAGAGGGACGCACTAACTGTATTTAGTGGAATGGAATTCTGTTGTGACAAGTAATCATAAATTCATTCAGCTACAGAATAAGTAAAGAGATAGTACAGGAATACCTGGTTAATCTAATGAATATAAGTCTCCAAGACCAGACGAATTACATCCAAGGGTACTAAAAGAACCGGCAAATGTAATATCGGAACCATTGGCAATAATCTTTGAGAACTCCTGGAGAACAGGAGAGGTCCCGGCAGACTGAAGGAGGGCAACGTTGTCCCCATCTTCAAAAAGGGAAAAAAAGAGGATCCCAACAATTATCGTCCAGTTAGTCTGACATCAATACCGGGAAAGATTCTGGAGCAGATCATTAAACAGAGAGTCTGTGAACACCTGGAAGGTAATTCCATAATCACAAAAAGTCAGAGAAACAAGTCATGCCAGACATATCTGATTAATAGTGGGAACTTCCGTTATTAACAAATGGCAGGCTCTGAGAATGCTTTAATGATGGGAGAGGCAAGGGGATGCCTCCATGACAAATTAATCATGCGGGCAAGTGTGACTATCACACTTTTGCGCTTGCCAGACAATTTAGGGATGTTTTGTGGACGGTAAGCCTCCATGTGATAATCTTCATAGAGCATTTCAGAATGCTATAGAACTTTTGCCCGCACCTTAGAATGAAATCTCCCTTTTTGACACCCTCGTTCTCCATTCCCCTCCTTGTCACAGATACCCTTCTGTATTTTTCTCCACTGCTGTCTCTGCCCTCTTCCATCTCCTTCTCTTCTACACTCACCATCTTTTCCCTACCACTGCTCTCTTCCACCTCCCCCTTGGTCTCTTCCTCCTTTAATAAGATGATGGTGGAAGGAAAAAGAAGAACAAATAGTCAATCAATCAAGCAATATTGATTGATTATTCAATAAATCAATTTATGGTCAATGGATCCAGTTTGACATGCTGTTAACTTAAAACCATAAAAACACAAATAACTGATCAATCAATTCACTGACTGAACAAGAAGTCATATGTTTTTCTTCTTCCATACAGCTGTTCATTCTCGCCTGTGGGTCTTCACTTGAGTCTAGGCAGGACTGACTTGGAAAATCACCTGTATTGTGAAGTTATAACAATTTAAACTAGTACTCTTTTTTTGTTATCTTTCCCTAATTTTCATTTTAGCAATTGGAAACTTTCATTTTTTTAATGCTCTAATGAAGAAATGCATTAATAAATAGTAGAATTGTTTAAGGTATATTTAATAAGTGTTAAAGAGCAAATTCTCAAATGTTCTTGGTTGGAGAGTATTTTTAAGCACATTGTCCAAAATACAATAACATCCAAAATCCACAAAACAGTGACACCTTTATTCAGCCAACCAAAATGCACAAAATACATGGTGCATGCTTTTGAATCTCCACTGGCTTCTTAATCAGGCAAAGGGGTTAAAAATCATACAAGAGAATTTTTTAAAATGACAAATGTTAATCACAGGCCTGCATTTTGTCAAGGTATTGTTGGTATGTTGTTTTGTGTTGGGGCTGCATGGAGGGATATCTATCTTCCTTGTGGCTGGGTGGCACTGGAAGCAAAGCAGTCCAGAGTCCAGGAGATAAAATCTGAATTCCATTAGCAATACAAAAAGGTAGTTTCCCTGAGATCCAAGACATCTCTGTTCCTTGTGAGGTCACAACCTCCTTTGTAAGGCAGAAAACACCAAATCTTTCAAGAGAAGCCTTCATGCTTTTGCATTTTGTCCAAAATGTTATCCTTGAGATTTCTAGGACACAAGTGAATCATTCTTCTTGCATATTCTACAGTGAAGTGGACTGGGCATTGCAGGAGTTTCTGATAAAAGTGAAAATGTTATATTTTGGAGGAAACCACCAGTATCATTTAGCAGAGTCGCTTATTGGTGACTATAGGCCTAAGCAGACTGCCAGAAATAGTGCACATTAAATTGAGGCACTGCCCTGGCTCAGTGCTAGGGAATCATGGGAATTGTATTTTTTTCTGAGACATTGAGCCTTCTCTGTCAGACAGCTCTGGTGCCACCCTAAATTATAGTTCCCATGATTCCCTAGCACTAACCCTAACCCTAAAAGTGGACTCAATTTGCACTATTTCTGGCAGTCTGCAACCCCCCTATGTAAGAAAACTTACAAAAATCAGCAAATCTAATTAAAACTAGTTTGGTTCTATTCAACATCAAACAAGCAGACCTTCATGCAATGGGGCCTCCTTTTCTTCTTCTTCTGAGCTCCAGATCTGCTATGGAAATCCAACCTTCCAGAGCAGACTTGGGAGGTACAC